GTAAAAATTATCTCTGTAGTACTTTTTCTGAACCATATTTATGAAGTAGGGAAACATCTCATAATATGAAAACTTATTAATTAGGCACAATAAAATTTTACTATTAAACTTTTAACAAATTAAACCTTTTCTTTTTTTCTGTTTCATACCTTTGTCATTATCTGTTGTTATCTGTTTTGTCTTTTTGAGAGAGATAGTGTATATAAATCTTCGATTTTTTTTTCCTTTGTGTTTTATTTTGCAAGTGTTTATATTCCACAAGCTTCCTTTTGCCATTCTATTTTTTATTTTTAGATTATTATCATCCCCCCTCCCAATTTTTATGTTTTTAAAAATGTGATGCTTTTTTTTTCCTGCAGAGGAATTTGAAAAATACTGTTCCGATATAGCAAACACTGCTTCATGGGGTGGTCAGTTAGAAGTAAGTATGACATGCTGTACTTTCTTATTAAATATTTATGATATTATAGGAGAATGCTTTCTGTGTTATAGAAAGCACTAGTGAGTTGAATTTCTTCTCCAGGAGAGGAAGACCTACAGTTTTTAGAATTTTCCAAGATCTTTAAAAGAAATAGGGAAAATTGTTAGGCAGTGAAGATTGTGTTGAAAATAAAGAGCATTTTTTCATATTGTTTCACAGAGAATTTTTGGAAACATATGTCATGTTTAGATGTTTGCTGAGGCTCTTACTAATAATACAGGTAGTCTTTAGTTAAAGATGTAATTTGGATGTTTAAATATCTGGAGCTAGTAGAATTATGCATCGTGTATGCTTTTGTAGAAAAATCATTTGTAGAGATACAGAAGTGAAAAAGATAAGATTAAAATGTAAATTAAGATGTAATTTTGCTTTACAGCTAAGAGCTTTATCACATATCTTGCAAACACCAATTGAAGTAATTCAGATGGATTCCCCTCCTATTATTGTTGGTGAAGAATACAGTAGGAAACCACTAATACTTGTGTGAGTATAATATGTTAAATGTTGAACTTCAAAACAATTTTTGTTTGGTTGCTTTACACTTGAAATACAATTTGCTTTATACTTGAAATACAATTAAGAAATGAACTACAAATTATAAAACCACATAGCTCTAATTTGGCACCTTTTTCATAGTTTAGAAACACATTCTTCTTCTTCTTGTGCCATATCCGTCATCGGACGTTGGCGATCATGTTGGTAATCCTATTTTAGAAACACATGCAGAAGTTTAATATTGGCCTTCAAATTTGCGATCACTGTGATCACCAACTTCATTATATTTTTGATAATATTATAAAGTAACAGAAATCGGTGGTTGCTACCTGTTTTCTTAAAAAAAAATAATAAAAAATAAAAATCCACTCCAAGAATAAAAGTGTCTACTTTCTTATAGAAAATGAACTCAGTTTAAGAAAAGAGAATATTGATTTAAGCAATGTCTTTCAGTTTGTGTAGTAATAACCTTCAGTGACGAAAACTGAATTTTCTCATTCTATCTATTAACTTACTCTGTGAACTTTTTTATTTAAGATATTTGTATGACCACCAATAAAAGGGATGTGGTGGCTCAGTGGCTAAGACGCTGAGCTTGTCGATTGAAAGGTCAACAGTTTAGCGGTTTGAATCCCTAGTGCTGTGTAACAGGGTGAGCTCCCGTTACTTATCCCAGCTTCTGCCAACCTAGCAGTTCAAAAGCATGTAAAAAATGGAAGTAGAAAAATAGGGACCACCTTTGGTGGGAAGGTAACAGCGTTCCATGTGCCTTTGGCATTTAGTCATGCTGGCCATATGACCACGGAGATGGTCTGAAGACAGCTCTGGCTCTTCGGCTTTGAAACTGAGATGAGCACCGCCCCCTAGAGTTGGGAACGACTACCACATATGTGTGAGGGGAACCTTTACCTTTACCTATTACCCCCATATCATAGAATGCAGAATGCATAGAACTTTGGGCAGCCATACAATCTTTTGAATAAATAATGTGGTAACTTATATCAAGTGTGCATGTGCTGTTTTAATTTGGTGGAAGTCTTTATATTTTTCATATGTTTTTCTTTTAGGTACATGAGACATGCGTACGGATTAGGTGAACATTATAATTCTGTAAAAACTCTTTTGGAGAACACTGCAGAAAATGAAAGCTAATATACAGTTCATCAGAAGACATGAATGATGGCTACAATTTTACTAAGTGTCTCTATATAGGTCTTAAAACGAATTCTCAATTCTTTAATAAGGCATACAGGGTTATACAAATACACACATATATGGTATGTGTGTCTGTATATATGAGATCTGTTATCAGCACTACTCCGTTTAAATCATGTTTTTTTTAAAAAATTCTGCCGTGTTTCTAATGTATCTCATAATAAATTGTGGGTTATACTTCGTTTGTTTGTTTTACTTCTTTTATTTTAACAGGAAAGCCAGTGTACACAATACATACATGCAATATTGCATTGCGGTTCAGTTGTTATGGACACCAATCATAAAATAATTATAAAAACCCCTGACATATAGATTATCTGAAATTGCTATGCTGTTATAATACTTTTCAAGGTGATTTGTTCTGAGTATTGAATCCCCTTTACTGAAACACTCATATTGTTTTTATTTTGGGTTGTGGCAGAAGAGTACCTGATTCTGAAATGCAAAAACCTCCATCTCTGATCATTAAAGTATAGGAAGCAGTCTTACCATATTGATTCCTCTAGCTCAGTTTACAGTAATAGTAATCAGTATAAAGAGATACTTTGCCAACCCACCTTGGAATTGCCAGGAACCTTTCGCAGGCAAAGCACGTTTTTCCAATAAATTAAAATACTTCCTTTTCAGAGTAGAACTTTTACTTTTCAAGGCTGTTGAACTGATCTTTCTTAGTTAACAGGATAATCCTTTCCTTATGCAACATGTCAATAGAATATCTGCAGAGACTCGTGCTAGTATTTATTTTAGATAGGTGTTAAAAAAACCTGGTATATTGAATGCTGTCCAGTTTAAAATGAAATAGTGCCTCCACGTGGGTATTTTACTTATCCCATTATTTTGAAAACGGGAAGAGTGGATTGCTATAGATTACATATCGCCACATATATCCCACAATAATATATTTCAAGAAATGAAACAATTTCCCTTGTAAAGCATGATTTATGAATATACTATGATCCTGCAGGCCATTTCATATCTGAGGTAATAATGACAGTATATAAAACTTCACTTAAATTATTTTCATCTCTTTCATTGAGATGTGCTGCTTTATACATCATTTAAAATATTCTTATAATTAAAATTGTTCATAATAAGTCTGTCTTTCATAATGAATACTTTTTTGATCACTCATATATTGTACCTAATATGTGCATTTAATACCCAAGGAATAGATAGATTTTTATTTGTGATCTATTGTGAGTTTATATAGGTACACTGTTTGCTGATAAAAAAAAAAACCCTTAATTTTTGAAAGAGGTTTCTGTCTGAATTTCTTGGGGGGAAAAAGGAACAATTACTATTACTGTGATAAATATTACTGGCATCTGAAAAATGAAAAACTATATAACTGAAAACATAACTACTATGGTAGTAATTTTACCTTGAACCTTATTTCCATTTCCCTCCATTTGACCAGTGTAAACTGTGCTTCCTGCAGTATTTAATGAAAGTTCAAGTGGTCTTCAGAACTGATCGATATTTAGAAACAGACTTTTTTTTTTGCTATGAGTATTATTTCTTAAATGTTGTATGTCCTTTCCTCTTGACCTCTGTATTGTCCATTTGGGAATGGCCCGCTTCAAGCTATTTTGTCAGGTTATATACTGTGGTCACTGTTTGTGTGAATGTATTTAATGCTGCAGTGAAGTATTTTGTAAAGGCCCAAAGTTCACTAATTAACTTTAGTATTACAAAATACAAATCACTAAAGGCAAGAGATGATTAGATTTTTATTCCATCTTTATATTTGGTCAAATCATGATGGGGAACATAACCTAATACCTCTGCACTTCCTATTTTCCCACAACAGCCACCTTGTGAGGTGGGTCAGACTGAAGGAGTGTGACTAGGCCAAAGTCACCCTGCCAATTTTCATGCCTGAGTGACCTAGAATTAAATTTCCAGGCCAGCATTTTCAACACCCCACTAAATTGGGATGCTGAAATGACGCTGATATTTATAAAGCAATGTCTCCTTTAAGACCAGTTCTTCCAAGATCTAACCAGCAAAACTCTTACTTGGCTCTCTAAATTGGCCAAGATCACGCTTGAATTTATTTGCACCGGGATGCTAACATAAATCAACTCTAATACTCCATAGCTGTGGTTCAGAAAATAATCTGATACATTTTAACACCATTATTTATCACAGATGTATTTATCTCCTCGGATTCTGACCAGACCTTCTAACGTTATCAAGCGAGAGCAGCTAAATCCATACACCCCACGTTTCTGTTCCCACGGGGTGTGTTCCCCACTCTCCCACACTTCGTAGCGCGCCATGAATTATATAGTATAGAATTATATATAGGAGCCTGGTGGTGCAGTGGACTAAACTATTGTTAAAGTAGTATTTAGCTGCCAGCTGCCTGCAATTACTGCGAGTTCAATTCTCAAGGTTGACTCAGCCTTCCATCCTTCCGAGGTAGGTAAAATGAGGACCAGGTTTGTGGGGGCAATAAGCTGACTTTGTATAAAATAGAACACCGCTTAGGGGGGGCCAAAAGCCCTACTAAGCAGGTATATACAAAAGTATGAAGGCTATTGCTTAAAAGCATTGTAAGCCGCCCTGAGTCTCCGGAGAAGGGCGGCATATAAATCAAACTAATAAATATATAGTATTCGTCATGAATTAACACTGATGAATATTGTGACAGATGATCGCCGAGCTATATAACAATCGCCACAGTTCTGTCCCCGCCCATAGAACGAGCTGAGGCTTCGGCGTTTCCACGACAACGGGAGGAAAGAACTTTTTAAAGTTCTACCGTTTCCACAGCGACGTGGTCGGGCTGGAGGACAGTCCGCAGATGGCGGAAGGGAAGCTGCTTCGCGTGCTGCGGGGCGGCTCCGGGACTCGCTCGCTCTCTCTGGCACGTCGGGGGCTGCAGCACCCGCCCCGGGGCTTGGCCAACTTGAGCAACCTGGAGCGCCTCAGCCTGCGAGACAACCAACTGTTCAGTCTCTCTCACGAAATGGAGGCTCTGAGCCGGGTGAGGGTGGGTGGGTGGATCGAGGGCGAGATCCTGGCTTGGGACTGCATTTGTGGAGCAGGGTTATCACTCACTTACCCTGCTTGTAAGCTTTGTTATCCAGAATGCTGGTTTAAGAGGTCTGTGACTGGTCCAGCCAGGCTCTTCTTGCATTGCTACGGAATGATCTCCTGCAGCAATCACCATTCTTCCATATTAGAGAATCTCTGATATTTGCAAGGAAAGAACGGGGGGAAACATTCAGGCCGTTCTTGGAATTTTTTTAAAAAAACAATCTGTATTAATTATTACACTGAACTGCTGTTGTAACAAAATTGTTTCATAATTTCGATCTCGGTAATCTCAGCTGTAATCAAGGTACTGCTGAATTTTGAATGGATACTTTTTTCAATCCAGAACAGCTTTGTAAGCCACACTGTTGGAAATCTTCATTGAAAAAAAAATTAATATAGTTTGTAATATTTTTTTTTTCCAAATAAGAAAATTAGTTTCCTTGTGTAGTGTTAAAGCGGGAGAATGTGACTGTGGCGAAGGCAGGAATAGTTATCCTCTGACATGGAATGAAGAAGCATTTTAAAATGAGTGTTTCTCCTTTTGAAAAAAAAACAGATATGATTTTAGCACTTTTGAGCATCATCTGTGGAACAATTGAGAACTACGGAGTACTGTTTTAACCATTTTGCTGCACAGCATTTTGTGTGTGTGTGATAAAATGTTACTTTGTGAGCGAATAAATATGCTGTAATTGTAATAGTGTAAACCCATGGCAGAATCAACATTTGACCATTGTTAAAGTTTCAGTTTAAACATCTCCTCTAAATAAAGGCTACTTACGGGGATTGCAAAAATCTAAATATCATCTGAAACTGGAGAAGCTTCTTGTATGAGAAGCAAAACGTTTTCACAGAAAAAACTAAGAAAGTCTAGTTGCCGTTTGGAAAAAGCACTTTTGGGACAACAATGATCTGAATGGTTGAGATTCTCCACAGCCATTCAGCAAAGTCATATTACTGTAGCTTAAGATAGATACCTTCATCCATTGCATGTATGACTCCTTTGTTATCATGGTTTGCAATTCATAGCTTATAGATCACTATGTTGTGTGAGCCAGCTAATTTATTAACAAACTTGGATTTAGGGCAACATGTCAACCCTGCAGTATTACTTGATATAAAATTTCATTGTACCAAACATAATACCGGTGCTTAACTATACTTAAGTCATGATAACCAGGTGGGAAACTTTGGGCTAGTCACTCTTTTTCAGCCTAACCCACCTCACAGGGTTCTTGTGGGGAAAATAGTAGAATAATGTTTGCCACTTTGAGTTATTTGTAAAAATAATAAAGGTGGGATACAAATAAAAAAAATAAATACTGTATTCATCCATACTTTGAGCTCCTGAATGAAAAACAGGGTATTTCTTTAATAAAATTATAAGAAGTATTCAAAGGAATTTGCATGCCATTCTATTCTATACAAAATCTTTTTTTCTGATAATTCCATGCCACTTGGTTATCCTGCTATAATAATGTAGGATTTTGCTTGTGGCCCATTTCTCAATTTCAAGCTAACTGACAATAATGCCCAATTTTGTTTTAAGAGAGAGAATTTCTGTTGTATACTTGAATCACGGGATAGTTTCAGCTCTTAACATGATAGTTCAAAATTAGGTACTACTAATGTACATGAGTGTCTTTTTTCAACCTTAGAGAACTGATTAACACTATTTAATCAAATATCTGATTGTAGTTGAAGGTACTAAATTTGGGAAATAATAATTTTGAGGAAGTTCCAGAGCAATTGAAATATCTCATATCTCTGCAAAAGCTTTACTTGTTTGGAAACAAGATCACCAAAATATCACCTTTAATATTTGGTAAGAGCATATCATGTGTTCAAAGTCAGATATTCTATCTACTATACAACAGATATATAGCCACATATGTGCTATACTATTTACTCAGCCACAAATCTATAAAATGAAATCTCTCTCCTCATCCCATTGTACTGAAATAACTTTTAATTTACATGTCCATTCAAGTGCATAATAACATCTGTTGTGTAAGTTAGCATATGAAGGAAATGAATAGTTTTAACAGAGAGATATTTTATTATCAATGTTTTAACTGATGCAATCTCAGAAAAAAAATCCATCATGAGAAAAGAGAAATGCATTTTCTAAAATGATATCTACTTTGGGGGATTTTAAAGAATCTTCTATGAGAGAAAGAAAAAAAACTACAAAGTCATCATCCCAAAAAATCTACTCCAAATTCACTCTTCCCCATTCATGTCTATGCTTGTTGAAAAGGATTCTGTTTTTTTAAAATGTTTATTATGTTCCTTTTAACAGTTGTTGTTACTTGTAAGCTGCTTTATCTGTCTATCACTGGGGACTCCATCCTCTAAGCATTCTTTGTTGCCAGTAGTTCATCTTCAACTGAAACTGGTCCTAACAAAGCTAATGCAGAGATGCAGAAACAGAAACAGATAAACAGAGGTTCTGTGTGATCCTTGAAACTCCCAAAAGTAGTCCTCAGAATTCTGCACCTGCTCTTACAAAATAGATTTTTTTTAGTAGAAATGAAGATCAAAAAGATAAATACATAGCAAAATGGTACTTACATCAAATTATTTAATTAAATGTACTCTTGGTTACTTAAAAATAGTATTATGAACAAAGGGGATATACAAATAAAATGGAACATTAGGAGAATAGGTATAATATAGGACTTCGTATCTCTACAAAAGCTTTATTTGAAGGCCATGTTTGTTTATAGATGAATTGAAGAATTTAGAACTTCTCAATCTGAACAAGAACCAACTAAATTATCTTCCTCCAGAGATTTGCAGGTAAATTTGATAAATATCAGGATGAGGTTTTGCCTGAATTGGCTGTAATGGATAAGTTAGTTTTAATAACTCGTCACTATTTTTGTGAGCAGCAGCAAGCAGGATTTGAATGATGAAAGCAGTGTTGCAATGTGATGCTGCAAGCTCCACCCTTTTGTTGCTATGCCTCTATGTGTGTGAGACATCCTAAGCAGTGGTGGGTTTCAAAATTTTTTTACTATCGGTTCTGTGGGCGTGGCTTGGTGGGTGTGGCTCAGTGGGTGTGGCAGGGGAAGGATACTGTAAAATCTTCATTCCCGCCCCATTCCAGGGGAAGGTTACTGCAAAATCCCCATTTCCTCCCAATCAGCTGGGACTTGGGAGGCAGAGAATAGATAGGGGCGGGGCCAGTCAGAATTTTTACTACCAGTTCTCCGAACTACTCAAAATTTCTACTACCGGTTCTCCAGAACTGGTTGGAACCTGCTGAAACCCACCTCTGATTCTAAGGCAGGTACAACAGGGCTTGTGGGATGATCTCTCTTGCTCTTTATAACAGTCTGACCCTCATTGCTGCCACCTATGGATGCCACTGTGTTGAGATAAGTCCATATCTTTCTCATACTATTTCAACATACAATGTATTTTACAATCTTTGCTTAATTTTCAAATATAATTTAATCCAGACTGTTTGACTGTAGTAGGCACACTTGATTTGTAGGAGCTTTCTTTTATTGAATAACAATATTATACGTATATAGCTATAATCTTGCTGTAATTCCTATTAACATTTTGAAGACTGGACTGTATGTGTGTGGTTGAGGGAATATATGTTTATTTTACAAGAAAAGCTATTAACAAAGAATATAAATACTTTTCCTAAGGCAATAGGAAGGACACAAACTCTTAGATTAGCATTAAAGGAGAGCCATATTACAAGAGGCAGTGCAATGTAATGGCTAAAGTGTTGGGTTTAGAATAGGAAGATCCAAGTTTGGATCTTCCAAACAACCTGGAACAGTCATACAATCTGAGTGAATGATTTTGGGTCAGTCATTCTCTCTTAGCTCAGCTTGCCTCAAAGGGTGGTTGTGGGGGGAAAATAGGTCCCTTTGTTTTTGAATGAAATGTGAGGTAAGTTTATATTTGATGTTACGTTTAACAATAGAATATAGTAAATTATTTACGTCCAGAGTTTCAGATGGTAGCTGAAAAAAGATATTTATACATCATTCCATTTATCTACAGTAGATCAGTGCTTCTCAACCTTGCAACTTTATAACTCTATGCTGGCTGGGGATTTCTAGAAGGTGAAGTCAACACAACTCAAAGTTGCCAAGATTGAGAAACACTGATCCAGATCACTTTTCTGTTGCTTAAATACTGTAAACCAAGGTGAGGCCATAATATATTATAATTTTTATAAACTGTTTTATAAAATTTGCCAAATTTTAATTCCATGGGAGCCATGTGTTGCACATTTGGACACATTCTGTAAGTTAGCCTATATGATATACTTTGGTTGAAAAAAGATTGCCCTATGATGCATTGTTTCATCCAGTTAAATGTTACAGGAACAAGAGTTTTAGTAGCTGCTAGACAACTCCTAACATTTGGGTTATCATTTCAGAGTTATTTCCTTACCATATTCCTCAATGCCTTCAACAATGGCAGAACTTCTGACGTCCTACCTTCTCTGGAAAAATTGGGAAACATTCAAAGATGTATCTGCCTTGAAAATAGCCCATGTTGCTGTATAGAACAGTCATAAGCAGAGATATAGGAAATGTTTTATGACATTTTGTACTCTGTCATAAAGTGTTTTATGACCATTTTATATCATAAAAGATTTTATAAAATTTGTCAAATTTCAATTCTATACAAGTCTTGAGTCCTAGATTTTGGACCCATTCTGTAAGTGAGCCCATTTGAGATACCTTGGTTCAAAAATTGTGGGTCTATGATGTAACATTTTGTCTAGTTATAGGTTACAGGAACAAAACAAGTAGTATATAGATAGGTTGTTCAATAGTGGTAAATTGAATATCAATTCCCACAATATCCAGCCAAGGTGGTGGAGTTGAATTATTGGAGTTGATATCTGCTGAAGGCTAAAAAGGCTGATTTGAGAATATGCTATAAGTAATTTCATTAAAATTGATTTATATGCAAACATTAGAGGCCATCATTTATAAACAGTTGTTAAATATTTAAAAGCCAATATCCTCAAATACTTTCTTCCAATAGGCTTGAAAATCTTGAATGTGTGAGTTTAGAGAATAACAAATTGGAAAAGATTCCCAAGGAATTTTGTTACCTTCAGAATTTACATGAACTTCACTTATCCCACAATTTCATCACCTCATTACCTGAAGACATCCAACATCTGAAAAAACTCAAGATCTTGATTTTGTCAAGAAATAAAATAGAATCGCTCCCTGATGTGAGTAGCTATGCTTGGAAAACAATATACTGTATTGTGATCATTAAAAAAGCCATGCCTTTAAGAACTGGATAGGGAAATGAAACAGGACTTCAGACGCTCAATTGAAAGAGCCAATGATGATGGAGCTTGGACACTCTTCTTCAGCAACATTTGGAGGGGTGGAGTTTTTCACTCTACTGCAAGGTGATCTTTTGTGTATTCTTGTAGTTAACTCTTCTTAAAAGTTGCAATGATCAGTTCTGTTATTTGGTATGTAAATATGCAGCAGGTATACCCTAAACCAGGAGTCCCCAGTAGCAGTCCATGGACCAGCACCGAGCTGCAGCATGACAGAATCTGGCCGTGAAAACAAGCAAAAGCCCATCCACGGGATGCAGGCAGCATGCGAAACTACGCCCCCTCCAGTCCATGGAAAAACCTCTCTCCATGGAACTGGTCCCTGATGCCCAAAAGGTTGGGCATCAACCTTCTGGGCAATATCCTTTGGGATATTGCCCTAAAGTTTAGGGAAATAACAGTCAAAGGTTTCGTTTATGCAAAGCAGTGGTGGGTTGCTCCTGGTTATGTCCGGTTCTATCGAACTGGTAGTAAAAGTGGCGGGAGATTCCGCCCACCCACCCGGACATCATAATTGATGATCTGCACATGCGCAGAAACTTCTGTGCATGCGCATGCACGCTCCCGTTGCAAACCGGTAGTAAAGGTAAGTAGAACACACCCCTGATGCAAAGTACAGGTAGTCCTTGATTTATGTACACAATTAGGATTAGAATTTCCATTGTTAAGTAAAGCGGTTATTAACTGAGTGGTGCCCAATTTTACAACTTTTTCGCTGTGTTTCTTAAGCGAATCACTGCAGTTAAGTGAAACCTGTGGTGTTTAGCATATTCAGCTTCTCTCATTGACTTTGCTTGTTGGAACCTGATTGGGAAGGTGTTGAATGGAGATCACATGATTCCGGGATGCTGCAACAGTTGTAAATACATTCCAATTCCAAAGCACCTGAATTTTGATCACGTGACTGAGAGGATGCTGTGATCCGAAGAGGTTGTAAAAAAATGCTTTTAAAAGGTAAAAGAAAGGCTCTGACGATCGTGCAGCTCAGCTGTGATCGTCAGAGCCTTTTTTTTTTTACTTTTAAAAGCAAAAAAGCAAAACCACCTGCGCATGTGCAGAGGGTACAAAACACATTACTTCCTGGTTAAAACCAAGAAGTAACGACAACCGGGCGGGTGGGCAGAGCCTCGCGCCGAGATTGCTACCGGTTCTCCGAACCACCCGCCACAATCGCTACCGGATCGGGCGATCCGGTCTGAACCGGGAGCATTTCACCCCTGCCCTCCCCTCTGTTGAGTGAGGGCTATTCAATTTTGACATAGATGGCCTCATAGGTGATAGAACAATCCTCAGCCCAGACCAGATATGACACCATCTATTTCCAGTTTATAACACAGTCCTTTCAACAGTTCCATGAAGGCTCCACACCCATTTGCACTACTGAGGTGACCCTCCAGGTGGCCTCAGCGACTCTCTAAAACAGGGGTGTCAAACTCACATTGTCACCGGGTGTCAGCATGGCCAGTGCATGATGCAACTGGCCCATGAGCCATGAGTTTGACACCCCTGCACCCCTAGACAATGACTGGACCAAATAATGATACTGTACAGCAAAAAAACTAAATTTAATATAATTTAGGTTACATTTAAACATAATTAAATTGTATATAATTAATAATTATATACTCTCCATGTAATTATTCTCCATGTTATTCTTCAATCTTTAATGATAATTGTTCCTTCTTTCACATTAAAATTAAAATTTGATGATTACTTCTGGGGATACTCTAGAAATACATTCCAGGAATTCAGTAACTTTATGCACATTCACTTGGGAACACTGCAGAACATCAAAGTAGGTCTACTTAGGTTTGCGCTGAAGGGCACTTATTTTAATATTATTAATTCATATTTATCATTTTTAATTAGGGAATCTGCAAGCTGGAGAGTCTTAAGATTCTTGATGTTGCAGGAAATAATATTCAGATTTTTCCCATAGCAGTAAGTATGATTGTTAATCTCTTTGGTGGAAACCTCTCCAACCAGTCTTCTATTGAAGTCTAATGGCTGGCCTAGAAAATACTCAAGTATAATGCATTTCCAACAGTGCCATATAAATATATCAAGGACCCTTATTTGACTTTTGATATTATACTTTTGTAATTGTGTTTATGCTGTTATTGCATTTGAGTCTCACCAATTTGTTTTTGTACATGAATTTTACCATTTTGTTGTTGTAGAAAGACACAGTTGCTTAGTAAAGTTTAATAAGTTTACACAAAATCAGATGGTAAAGAATTTCAGATAAAATCAGCCTGATCAAAGGCTTGCTAAAACAAATTGAAAATTGTCAGGGGGCAAAACCAAACTATAGGCCTAAGATGTATAGCAAATAAATGATGTTAATGGGAAAACACTAAATATATTGTTTTATATTTAAAATGTTATTTTATTATTTAAACAGATGGGATACCTTCAGCTTGAAGAACTTTACTGTGAAGATAATCCATTGCTTCAGAAAAAACCAGTTAGTGCCATACAAGAAGAGGACATTCTCACTCTTAAGGTTATTAATACAGAAGTACATGTTCAAGAAACTATTGTTTTAGCATCAGTGGTGAAATCCAATTTTTTTTTACTACCGGTTCTGTGGGCGTTGCTTGGTGGGCGTGGTGTTGCTTGGTGGACATGGTTTGGTGGGCGTGGCAGGGGAAGGATACTGTAAAATCTCCATTCCCACCCCACTCCAGGAGAAGGATACTGCAAAATCTCTATTCCCACCCCACTCTGGGGCCAGCCAGAGGTGGTATTTGCCGGTTCTCCGAATTACTTGAAATTTCTGCTACCAGTTCTCCAAACTGCTCAAAATTTCCACTACCGGTTCTTTAGAACCTGTCAGAACCTGCTGGATTTCACCCCTGTTTAGCATGATGTTTTCCCTAGATTTCAAATTTATATTTTGGCATTCAAACAATTTCAGATAACTATTTTGTAGCCTGTAGTAGTATATGTTGAAAGTTATTGTTAATTATATGAGTACTGTATATTAATTTTCAAGTTAAATGGATTGAAATGATTTAGCATAGTACTAAAATCCTTAATTGTATGAGTTTGAGATGATTAAAACATCAATTAAAACAGTGGTTGGGTTGAAGTGTAGTCCTAAATTATCCTTTGTTTTAAACATGGCCCAGTGAACAATTGGTTTCATGTAACACCAAACCATATAAATAATGATTTATGAAATAAACTAGATGGGTTCGCACTAAAATAAAAGAAGACATCTTATAATTCAGTAAAATGTATGAATAAGCCAATAATTCAGAAGGAAGGAGCATTTTTGCTATACACCAGTGGTGAAATCCAAATTTTTTTACTACCGGTTCTGTGGGCGTGGCTTGGTGGATGTGGTGTGGCTTGATGGGCGTGGCAGGGGAAGGATACTGCAAAATCTCCATTCCCACCCCACTCTGGGGCCAGCTAGAAGTGGTATTTGCCGGTTCTCTGTACTGCTCAAAATTTCCACTACCGGTTCTCCAGAACCTGTCAGAACCTGCTGGATTTCACCCCTGCTACACACTATACACTATTTATTAAATGTAAATGCTATCCTCTCAGGAGGAAGAAAACTTTTAAGGAATGGGTGGTAAAGTAAAGTTAAAGATTTCCCCACACATATGTGCTAGTCGTTTTCGGCTTTAGGGGCGGTGCTCATCTCCCTTTCAAATCCAAAGAACCACTGCTCTCCGAAGACATCTCCATGGTCATGTGGCCGGCATGATTAAATGCCCAAAGCGCACGGAGCACTGTTACCTTCCCACCAAAGTGGTCCCTATTTTTCTACTTGCATTTTTTTACGTGGTTTCGAACTGCTAGGTTGGCAGAAGCTGGGACAAGTAATAGGAGCTCACCTGATTGACAAGGTCAGAGTCTTAGCCATTGAGCCACCGTGTCCCTAGAGGACCTTTTATCAGGTTCAGCGGATAAATTGGGTGGTTATTTTTTTGAGGGGACAATGACTATCTTTGAGTCAGTCTTGATCCTGGCAACTGCCTGAACAAGTCTCTTGGCAAGATTTCATAAATAGTTTGCCTTTGCCTTCCTCCTAGAGCTAAGAGAGAATGACAGGCCCAAGGTCACCCCACTGGCTTTGTGCCTAAGGCAAGACTAGAACTCACGGTATCCTGTTTTCTACCCTGGTACCTTAACCACTACACCAAATGGGCTCCTATTAAATCAAGTGTGCATTCCTTTAAAAAAAGCCTGGAAATTGTTCAGAATGCAGCAGCATGAGTGCTGAGTGGTGTCCCTCAAAGGCCCCACACAATCCATGTATTGAAACAGCCTTATTGGATATGGGTTGCCTTCCACCCTCAATTCAAAGTATTCCCACTGGTGCGTAAAACATTACATGGCTTAAAGTCCAGCCATCTACAGATTTACCTACGTATTCTAAGAGCTGTGATGGCGCAGTGTTTAGAATGCAGTATTGCAGGCTAATTCTGCTGACTGCCAACTGCCAGCAGTTCAGAAGCTTGAATCTCACAGGTTCAAAGTTGACTCAGCCTTCCATCCTTTCAAGGTCAGTAAAATGAGGACTCAGATTATTGGGGCCAATATGCTGACTCTGTAAACTGCTTAGAGAGGGCTGTAAGGCACTGTGAAGTGGTATGTAAGTCAAAGTGCTATTGCTATTCCCACATAGTCTGCTCCACGCTTTTAGATATCAATGGAGCCAGTGGTGGGATTCAATTTTTTTAACAATTGGTTCTGTGGGTGTGGCTTATTTGGGGTGTGTGTGGCTTGGTGGTCATGTGACTGGGTGGGCGTGGCTAGATGGTCATGTGACCGGTTGGGCATGGCTATGTTTCTGGGGACTACTCAGAGGGCTGAAAAAAGTGATTTCTGACTAGTCCTCACACTTTTGACCGATCCTTGTACTTGCGATCGTCCTCACATTTATGCCTGTTTCAGCATTCTTAACAACCATGTCACTCATTTCATAACTGCGGTGCTTTTCTTCACCGCTGTGACAAGATAGGGCACAATACGTAAAATATGAGGACAGTCGTAAGTGTGAGGACCGGTCAAAAGTGCAAGGACCAGTCAGAAATCACTTTTTTCAGCCCTCTGGCTAGTCCCTATATGCATAGGGATTTGCACTTATGACCGTCCTCACATTTATGCCCGTTGCAGCATTTTTAACCGTGTCACTCATTTCACAACTGCGGTGCTTCATGTGACCAGGTGAGTGTGGCCAACTCGACATCACTTCTTTGCCCTAATGACAGTTTGCTGCAATGGTCGTAAGTGTGAAAAACTTTTTTCAGTGCCATTGTAACTTTGAATGGTCACTAAATGAACTGTTGTAAGTCAAGGATTACCTATACAAAAATACAAAAAGCTTCTTTGCTTGCAAAAAGCTGCCTTAAATACCAAACATTAGATTAGAAAATAGAAATACCTGCAAGCTAGAGTTACAAATCAGGCAGGGTGCCAGAGCACCTTTAGTAATTGATAGTTAAAATGCAATGATAACTATCAGCAGCCAACTCTTGCTCATAAAGTGAAACCCTTTAGCAGAGAGGTCATTTAAGCTCTCCAGAATGAAGCAAAGGAGCAAACACAGTAGCTGTTGCTTGTTAAACCAATTACCAGAACAAATAGACACAGGAACTAGCCAGATTTCTGAAGCTGCTTCTTTTCAGGATTAGAGATTAACATTTTTTCTTCCAAACAAAGGGAATAGGGAAAATTATCCCATCAATAAACACAGGATTAAACATCACCAAGCACAAAATTAAACTTCACCAAAAACTAGTTTTAGACCAAAAGTCAGAAAGGGTATCTATACTCTTTTGAAGTTTGAATGTCAATCTTTCTAGCTAGCCAAGAAGCCTTGCTGAATGTCACTCATCTTATTTCCTTATCATTAAAATCTTTCCACCAGCTCTGATTCGTTATTCAATTATTTCTTCAAAGTGCTGATCATTGCATATCGACTAGAAGAACTCCAACAGGGGAGTATTTCCTCCCAAAAGCAGTTTAAAAAGCTTAAAACAACCCTTCCCCTTTAAGAAAGTCAAGCAAAGGAAAAAAAAACCTCTGGAGACAGTAAGTCTAGGCGTAGAATGTAATAAGGGTTAAAGGAGAGGCAGTTTCTGTAAGCAGGGCAATAAAGATTAGGCTAGAAACAACACCAGAATGTTGTAATTCCTTACAGAATTAACCCTGTAAAGTGGAAAAAAACAAAAGGAGATTTCTTCTAACAACCAGTTCTCCAAACTGCTTAGAAAGTTAACAACCGGTTCTAGTGAACCGGTGTGAACTGGTAGAATCCCACCCCTGATTGGAGCACATTCTGCAGATTTCAGCACAGATGCATTTAACATTAGTAGTTACTTTTTTCTTTCCCTTAGCAGGGACCATGCTAAGAAACAAATTGCTGCTGGAAAAAATTACAATCTGTCTCCTTATTAAGTTTGAAGGGGGTTACAAGCATTCATACTGATGCAGAATTTTTGATGTTTTAGTATGAAGTCTCTACTGGTTTTCAACTTTTTTTTGTCTTCCTTCTTAATTATGTTCTAATAATGGTCTTTGTTGTATTTTTCCTCAGCTGCACTGTGCAGTTAAAAAGACAGGGGTGTATAATTTTTCTAAATTAAAACTTCAAGTGACATATTTAAATTTCTATTACAATTCTTGTCAATAATATTTACTATTTTGTCTTTTAAATCCACAGGAAATAACAGCAAGGTTTATTTTTACTCAGCTGGAAAATGAAAACCCTCTTTTATGCAGAGCAGTAAAACAAAACCCACAAGCACAGAATTTGCTTTCCCAGAGACAAGAATGTGCACATTGTGGACACAGCTTTCTGAGTATGTGGCTAGAATGTGTGCGCTTCATAGATATAAAACAGGTAAGTTACTTTGATACTATAGCAATACCACTTCACAGTGCTTTACAGCCCACTATAAGCAGTTTATAGAGTCAGCATATTGCCCCCAACAATTTGGGTCCTCATTTTACCCACCTCGGAAGGATGGAAGGCTGAGTCAACCTTGAGCCTGGTGAGATTCGAACTGCCAAATTGCAGGCAGCCGGCAGTCAGCAGAAGTAGCCTGCAGCAGGGGTGAAATTCAGCAGGTTCTGGAGAACCGGTAGCGGAAATTTTGAGTAGTTCGGAGAACTGGCAAATACCACCTCTGGCTGACCCCAGAGTGGGGTGGGAATGGAGATTTCGCAGAATCCTTCTCCTGGAGTAGGGTGGGAATGGAGATTTCGCAGAATCCTTCTGGAGTGGGGTGGGAATGGAGATTTTACAGTATCCTTCCCCTGCCACGCCCACCAAGCCACACCATGCTCACCAAGCCACGCCCACAGAACCGATAGTAAAAAAAATTGAATTCCACCACTGGCCTGCAGTACTGCATTCTAACCACTGCACCACCAAGGCTCTTCACTATACATTTTTAAAGATGGATTCACTGCAATTTTAAGACTTTAACTAGATTTTATTGCTGCATGCTTTTCTTATGCAGTTCTAAATGCTTAGTTTCTCTTCTGCATTCATTGATAATAATAATTGGCTTCCAAACATAAGCAGAATCCTGACAAATTAAGGAAAGACTCCATATGGTTGCTAACTAATTTTCTATCAATGGCCAACCAGATCTTATTTATACTCCTATAAATTTTGCTCTTTTTGATTATTCTGTGCTTTTTAAAAATCGATTTATTCAGTTAGGAGTGCAAAATAGGTATAGTATCTCAAAAGTAAGCTCCACTGACATCATACATACTCTCAGGTAAGTATGAGTGCAGCCATAATTTCTTAATTTGGACCTTATATTGTTTTTCATTATCACATTCTCCAGAGTAGCAATTTATCGATACAGCATACAGGTAGTCCTTGACTTACAACAGTTCATTTAGTGACCCTTCAAAGTAACAACAGGATTGAAAAAAGTAACTTAAGACTGTTTTTCACACTTATAACCATTGCAGCATCCCTATGTTCATGGGGACCAAAATTTGGATGCTTGGCAACTGGTTCATATTTATGACTGTTGTAGTATCCTGGGGTCATGTGATCACCTTCTGTGTCCTTTTGACAAGAAAAGTCAATGGGGAAGTCAGAGTCACTTAACAGCCGTGTTACTAACTTAACCGTTTCAGTGATTCACTTAACAACTGTGGCAAGAAAAGTGTAAAATGGGGCAAAACTCACTATAGGTCGAGGCTACCTATAGTCTTGTTTTAGGTTACACTGAGATAATGGTTTCCTTGAGATTACTGTACAACTGTGTTTCTAAACCTTGACAACTTTAAAATGTGTGAACTCATACCGGCTGAGGAATACCGTGAGTTGAAGTCCACACATCTTAAAGTTGCTGAGGTTTAAAAAACATTAATGTATGCCAAAGATCACTGGTAATGTTTACAAATGTGAATCAGAAGACTGATATTGAACCCTTATATAACCTTGATGCAGTGGTGGGATTCAAATCATTTGACAACCGGTTCTCTGCCCTAATGATTTCTTCCAACAACCAGTTTGCCAAACTGCTCAGAAAGTTAACAACCGGTTCTCCCGAAGTGGTGTGAACTGGCTGAATCCCACCACTGCCTTGATGCCTTCACAGTTCGGTCAATTCAGAATATGTTTATTAAAATAGAAGATGGATACAATGTTTTATGAGTAACACAATCAATTTTGAAATAACCCGTCAGCATATATAGCAACAGTGGTACCATCGTTCTTTTTTCCATAGAATGAAGAGCAATAGCGTAGAGGTTTTGTCAAAGATGAAGGCAAAGATTAAAAGCTAGGAAAGCAGCAGTTGGCTTAACATACACAGTGCAAAAACAATACAACTGCAAAACGAGCACAACATAATGGTTTAAAGATTTTCTCATTTTTTAAAAGTACAACTATAAATAAAGTAGAGGAACATTTAGGTGGCATAATTCCATTAAATATCCTGTCATTAGGAATGCAGGGGTAAGTCTAAAATTAAGAATAGGGCTCTTAAAATACAGTTTAACATCTGGAATAAGACCCATAGATGCTTTTTCAGGAGGCAACGAGACTTTCTTGTTTTTTTTCTTTTGAAGACGTTTCGCTTCTCATCCAAGAAGCTTCTTCAGGTCTGACAGGATAGGGGGAGTGGAAGGATTTATATTCCTTGCAGACAGCTGGTCATTTGTATCCTTTTAGAGGGTCATTGAAGCACTTGGGGATTTATCTGTGTCCTCAGGGTTACCTAAGTAATGCTCCTGGTTTCTGTAGTCTGCAATTTTTCTCTGGAAATCCATTCCAGAAAACCATGACCTGGACGACTGAGGATCTCTACAGATTTGGAATAAGAGTACAGAAAAACCATTCCTTCATTCACATTCTAATATTGCTATCTCAGCACCCAAGAATGAAGATGATGACAGTACCAGTAATTGCACTGTTCTACAAATAGAGGGGCAAAATTTAACATGCTACAAAGCTGATCATATGATAGAGAATGTTCAGCATCAAACAGAATATTTACTGACATTTCATAGAAATTAATGTATTATTTTTGCATAAATAATAAAGCACCTTAGTAGCTGCACCAAATATAGGATAAACTTTGGAAAGCAATACAAATTAGGCAATATGGTATTTTCCCCCCTCCCAGGAGAATATAAAGGGAGTGAATGCAAATGTAGAAAAGGGAACCTGAAAACAGAAAAACTATGTTTGGAAAATAAAGGAAAAATTGGGTTTAACATTAAAGTATGCTTCAAAATCTGATTGACCAGAATCTAAAACAGGGAAATAATATTATTTTTATTTTATTTGTTAAATTGATATTGTTTTCTCTAGAAGCTTAAGCCTGTTTATGTGGGTAGTTGCCTTAATTTTATCATTAAGTCCATTTCTTTATTCATGGTTATTCTGATTAGTTTTGCAGTTGTAAAAACTCTACAGGGAATAAATTATACATATGCTTGCCTGAGGGCATTCATCTCCATAGAAAATCTAGTAATATAATCAAAAACTGCTTTTGAAAGACAATGTTGTTTAAAATTTTGGACCTGGAGAAGTCTATTTAGGAAAATTAATGTAATTGTGTACAGTAATAGCACAAGGTTCAGTTATACATTCAGTTGAAAGCAGTTTAACAAGCATAAATTAAATTTATATTGTAATTGATTATATGACCAATTTCATGGCTGGACCATGTCTGTAACACTGGGAACGAGCAAAAAAGAAAATTCTGGGAGAAAATCAGGGAATACCAAAACTTTCTTTGACTGGGACACTGAACTTTATACATAATTATAACAAGAAATAAGTTTTACAGTAAAAAATGTTTTATAAAAATAAACAAACAGTGCTTATATTTTTGGGCTTATCCCCATATAATTTAAACATGGGTATTACAAAATGGAGGTTGAATTCAGCGACCCGAAGTGAAAATACATCAGTGCGTTTGTGAACTTTTGTACAAGAACAAGCAGAACATTACTGTTTAATTTCAGAGATTACATTCTTGCATAAGAAATAATGAATAGGAGCAGTACCACCCATATAATGTATACATTTTAGTAGGGGTTTAAAGTCTTACACAACAACTTCTATAAACAAAGTCTTGGACTAAGTTGAAAACCGACGTCATGTAAACAAAATATTTTTTTGTTTTGTAAATTATCTATTTTCTCTCAGTTACAGATATTCAGTATCCATTTACCAAATGCACATTTCTTATGAGAAGCAGCCCAATTACTCTGGCTAAGTTCCCAAGAACACATGGGATTCTTTAAAAAAAACCTTCCATGCCATTTTGTAAGGTATATTTGAGTGTCTTTTCCATATGGGAGAGTTGCTTGTGAAATACAACAAACAATTCCCCTCAGGCAAGCACTTAATTTCTTTTGACCCAACCAATATTTATTTAATATCTCAGTTCTCCTTTTGCAGAGTTGGCATTTTGTGTGAATAAAGTGGAAAGCACACAATGGCATTTTGAAGGATTTTTCATTTCTAAAAATATAACTCATTTTCATATTTAACACTGTAAATATAAAATCCTGAATTTTACTGGTTTCTTACTGGTTTCAAGTTAATAGTGGGGGGAAACAATGGTATTATTTTTCATATAAATTATCTGTAGAATAGAATGATAACTAAAAGTTTGGACATAGATGTGAGAAAAACAGATTTAATCTCCATTAGGCTTCAAAGCTTATTGACTTTGGCCTTCTATGGTTGTCAAAAGGACAAAATACTTCTTTGGGTTGTTGTGGGAAAGCTGAGGAAAAATATAGTAAATCAAAACAGGTACTGGTTTTAGTATGTATGTGATTATACTAACCATGGGAAGCTATTATTATAATAATTTGCATATCTTTTGATTCTTGTATCTATGTGAGCTTCATAAAAACTATTCAGTACTTCTCCACACCTAGTTGCATGTGTTGGTCAAGGAACACAGCCATTGGCAAACATATCAGGACCAAGCAGTTCTGTTGTGTAGCCCAAGACAACACACTACATATTTTGTCCAAGAAAGGACACGACACAAAAACAACATCTCTATGCTTTGTTGTCCTTTTAAAGTGGAGATTTAATCTCTAATCGAGACAAAAGATAGCAAAACCTGAAACATGAATGGATGGAACTAACATGGATAGTACCCATACGCATGTGCTATGGTACTTCACAATAGAATCTGATATCCCTTTGGAGGAACTGTAAAAGGAAGAAGATTCTGGAGGCTTACCCTGAACAAATCTGACTTTATTTCTTAACACCACCTCAACAGAATATGAAATATTGATTTCTAGGTTTAGGTTCTGATCTTCTACTATGTTTCCATGAAAATAAGACCCTGTCTTATATTTTTTTGAACCCTGAAATTAGCGCTTGGCCTTATTGCCATGTGTTCAAAAGCCTGATTGGGCTTATTATCAGGGGATGTCTTATTTTGGGAGAAACAAGGTAAGTGCTACTTTTTAAATGCCATTCAGTAAATTTGTTTTCTCTGACTCTTGTTGACCCATTTTCAGTGGTGGGATTCAAGTAATTTAACAACCGATTCTCTGCCCTAATGATTTCTTCCAACAACCAGTTTGCCAAACTGCTCAGAAAGTTAAGAACCAGTTCTCCCGAAATGGTGCGAACTGGCTGAATCCCACCACTGCCCATTTTCCTTGCCTAATTATATTAGACTAGATTGTTCTTTACATATTCAGAATCCCTGGCAGAATCCCTTCAGAAAACTCCTTGACTGCAGATATGATTTATATCATTTATCAGAAAATGTGAAGTTTGGAAGTGTTTATATTATGAGAGGGATTAAAGGGGATTTTTTTTTTGTAGTAAATTATAATGTACAAAAAAAGAAATGCAAAATTATGTAACCTAAATGTCACATTTTCTTTTCTTTATTTTTAGAAGCGAATGAAAACAAGCAAAAACTTGCAGCTTTTACCTGTGAGGTCACTACTATGTTCATACAACTGTTTTTACCAACGTGATCATGAACTCTTTGGAATCTCTGTATTGTAGAGCACACAGTGAAACAGTGCCTCAATCAACTTGCAGCTATCATAGTTTTCCAAAGACCTTTAAAACCTGAAGCCAGTATTTATTGCTACATCAGTATTTAATTAAAAATTAATAGTTTTTTTTGGAAGTGTAATTTCAGAGAAGTGATGGCTGATAATGTGTTTTGGCAAACTAGACTCCATCTCTGAGAGTAGATTTAGTTGGGCAAGCAGCATTATTTAACTTTCAGGTAAAGTTTTATAATGTAAGCTAACTGATCTGTGTTATATTATTTCTTTTGGCTTCTATCCACCCAAACTAATGTGAAATTCTGTGTTTCTCTCTCTGAAAATCTAGGTCAGCATTTAATGATGCAAAAGACTCTTTTAACATATGTGGGGTGATTGACTTTTACTTTAAATCCTTCTTTTTTAGATTTTTATAACTTGGCTATAACATTTGGCATGTAGAACTTTCAATACTTGCAGAAAACATGTTGGAGGATTTTAAAGAGAAATGGCATGTATAAGAGATTTCTTCACTCTTAGGTGCATTGATTACAAAAATCTATGTGTATCATGACAAATTTGGGGGGAAAAATTCTGTAAGGAAGCAGGAAGTTAAAGATATTTGCCTGTTTGCTTGCTTTTCCAATTATTATATGAAGGGTTTTAAAATTCTTATGAATGTTTCTATATTGTAAGTCTTCCAAATTTTTAACTAGCATGCTCATCTCATGTCACTAATTATAGTCTGACAGAATACCAAGCTTACCTTAAATATAAACATTTACAGTTTACATATAGAGGTCATGCAGAAAGGATAAGTAGAAACACGTGATTGCCTTAAGTGTGGACATTTTCCATTTAGCACAATAACTTTATTGAAAAATTATGCAGCAATACAGACTTTTTTTAAAAAAAATAAAATTGTATTCAGCATTTATATTAGGAAAGAGATAACCATACAAAATTATAGATATCTGTAGAATGCATTGAATGATTTTTCCACTTCCCCAAATTTACAAAAACAATCGGCTGATCCCTACCTACTGTAAGAACAGATTTAATAGATTTAACAGATTAACAGAGTTGGAAGGGACCTTGCAGGTAATCGAGTCCAACCCCCTGCCCAAGCAGGAGACCCTACATCTGCCTCTACCTAGGATCGAATTCACAACCTTCGACTTACAACCACAATGGAGCCTGGAATTTCAGTTGTAAATTGTTGGGGTCATAAATTGAGACACCATGTGACTAGACTCGATTTTATGACTATTTTTACAACAGTTGTAAAGTGAGTCACTGTGGTTGTTAAGCAAATCACATGGTGGTTAAACTAATCCATTCTTCTGAATGGACATTTTTGATTGGAATTCAGAAAAAAATGTCAAAAACATCTCTCAAGCAAATTTAAAGTTACCATTCAGATAATCCAGCTAACAGATAACTGCAATGTAATAATTTGGAAATAATTCCAAAGCTCCTTCTGAATAGTTTGGATTCTTTCTCTTCTACGGAAACAGACATCTGCACTTACACACTCCTTGCTTAGGGTTAGGGTTAGTTGCAGCTGTACAAACTGTTTTGTGGCCTTAGGAATTAAAACAATCTAATAGCTGCTGTATCCTTAAGCACAAAGTCAAGCTGTCTGGATGTTAGTGACAATTTCTGCAAAAGTTTTATTTTTCCACGATAATTTCTACTCAATCAATCAATAAAAGTAAAAGAATTCCTATTGAAAACTCATACAACAGTATTGCATTTATTTTTTAAACATTTGGTTATTAGATTTGTTATATTTTAAACTACACCTTCAGAACAGCAAATTACGCAAAAGAGCCACTGCAAAACTCAAGCAACCATAAACGAATGCAAAAGTTTCTCCCAAATTGTTTTCAGCCTACTGCAAAGGTATGGATTAAAATCACAGAGCTGTTGTTCTATTTTGTAACTGAAAGTGGTGTCATGAATCACCATGGTTTCTCAGCAAGGTCAAATAAGTGCACATTCACCATTATTGTTGCTTTGCCAACTATTTTAAGATGTTCCAAAACATGGGACTCCTATTGGGGGCTCAATGTTTCAAACCCCATTGCAAAACAGATTTTGGTCTTAGACCAGCAAGTTCCAGTCAACCACAGAGCTCGTTGGATGATTTGGGGCTAGTTACTATCAGTCTTATCTATCTTACAGAGAGTAGTGTTATGGTGATAAAGTTAGAAAAGACTTCACATATGCTGGTTTGAACTCTCCTGGGAAAGGTTTGATATATTGTAAATGCAATAAATGAATAATTCGGTAAACTTAAATAGCTGCTTATTCTGCTTTTAATTTTTCATTGCTTCTTCCCTTTTTCCTTTTTCCATAAAAAGAAAATAAAAACTATGTTGGATAGGAAATGGGTGAATATGTGCGCTAGGCATGAAGCACTAAAATATATAATATTGAAAATGGTAAATTTGCCTGTGGAAAATTTTTCCACAGAAAATCTCTGCTTCCACAGTTGTTTTCAAAGTGGTATTGATGAAATCAAAGATGCTTGTAATATCAAACTTGTAATCTAATGGAAAAGAGGAAAAAAATTGCAAAGGAGAAAGGTATGTTCGTTTCTGCTCCCTCAGCTGGGCTCGTGGAATGATCTAACTTTCCACCCTGTATGGGTCTACTACAGTCTGATGGAATAGTATGTTTCTTGAGGACGGTTGACCTGATGGGACAGAGTTAATGAACAGGAGAATGTGCTGAGAAGCAACTGAATTGATCAAAAGGACTGAGCATATCTTTTCTTAGAAAAAAATAAAGGCCAAACATAACCTGAAAAAGGGGCAAACCTGAAGGAGGTTCAGAAGGATAAAAAAGTTTGCTTGTTTATAACTTTGCTTTTCAAAGGACCAAACCAAGAAATACATATTCTATTAAAATCAAACACTACATTCAAATTTATTTTAAAAATACAATTACTTTCTGTATTTTTCACCTGAATATGAAAGTGTGCATGTACTGGTACCATTTGTATGATAAAAAAAGTTAAATGAGCAAAATAAAGGACAAAAGTGATTTTTTGAAAAATAAATCTAAAGGATGGCTTCCTGAAATAAGGCACTGTTCTTTTTTAATAAACCAGTGTGGTCACTATACGTATCTTCATGAATATATATAATATGCCTGATTTTGAAATCTGAAATTAAAAAAGAAGAGCCTCCCCGCACACCATTTTGGCTGACAAAGTGCTGCAGGAGGCCATCCAGGCCGAAAACTTGGGGCTTGGGGAAGGCTGCATGTGTCTCCCCATGCCCCATTTTGGCTGCCAGAGGCATCGCAGGCCAGCCCTTTGCTATTTCCAGGCTGGCCCTGCGGGCTTTGAGTTTGACACCCTTGATCTAGAGTAGTGATGCTAACCTTTTCCGGACCAAGTGCCCAAAGCACATGCACATGTGCCCCCCCATGCATGCGTACGTGGCACCCCGCATGCACACACACCACACATGCGCATGTGCTCCCTGCACCCCTGCTCCCATGCATGGATGCGCACCCCCTGCATGCCCCCCTGCATATGCATGACTGACCCCCCCCACGTGCCCCACCTCTCTGCCTGCGCCGTGCCTGTGCATGCGCGGCAGAGACCCCGAAGACCAGCTGGCCAGCAGGAGGTATGCACATGAACTGGGGCGCCGGCTCGCATGCCCACAGAGAGGGTGCTGCGTGCCACCTCTGGCATGCGTGTCATAGGTTCGCCGTGACGGATCTAGAGAGTTGTGAATAATTCAGATAAGATAATATTAAGCTTTGCTAGAAACAGTAGTGTTTGGCTACTCCAGCTGGTACAGAGGCAGTGATGGGCATGCCTTGGTAGGTTCATGTAATAATAAAACTTGGTAGTACAGTGGTCTAAGGCACCCTGTTATTAAGCTGGTTATTAAGACCAGCTGCCTGCAATTACTGCAGGTTCGAATCTCGCCAAGGCTCAAGGTTGACTCAGCCTTCCATCCTTTCTAAGGTAGGTAAATTGAGGACCCAGTTGTGGGGGCAATAAGCTGACTTTGTGTAAATATACAAAAGAATGAAGGCTATTGCTTAGCGCATTGTAAGCCGCCCTGAGTCTCCGGAGAAGGGCGGCATATAAATCAAATTAAAAAAAAAAACACCTTTGCTTTACAAGTTGCATAGGTTGCCAGTTTGCTTCCAGGTACAATTCAAGATGCTGTTATTGCCTATTAAGGCCTACATGGCACAAGGCCTGATTACTGAAAGGACCACCTGTCTCCCATAGTATCTACCCAGCTGATTCAATCCTTCAGGTTGATGTACTTTGGTTCCCTTTGATTAAACCAGAGTTTTTTTTAATATTTGGACCACTTTCCACTTTTAAAAATTATGGAGGACCCCCCAAAAGCTTTTGTTTGTAGAGGTTATATTTATCAGTATTTACTGTTTAAATTAAAATTGACACATTTGCTGCTTCTACTGCTTCTCAAAACTGATGAGATTTTAATAATGCTTTATTTTTCAACATGCGGTGGCAAGTTATTTTGATTTCAAGGATCCCTGAAAAAATCTTGGGGAAGCCCCCAGGAGTTCTTTAAGAAGCATTGCATTAAACAATATTATTTCCTGGGACCCAGAAGCACACTTGTCTCAATTTATCAGCAACAGTAGAACAATAAGAAAACAACCAATATTTTATTTTGCAATTGGAAAACAAACATTTCATCAAATGTGATGCCTCATTAAGAAGCAGGTTTAGTGAAGGACACCTAACACAAAGTAGCCTAAGCTCTTATGCTAAAATGTATGCAAATATAATTCTCTGTCATTCTTGCTTTCTTTTTTTCCTCCTTTACTTTTATTGGTTTGTTGTAATGTCCTTGTTTTAATTGTTATGAGCCACCCAGAGTTGTTGAGACTTTGGTGGCATACAAGTATGATAAATAAATAAATAGGCCAATGTTTTTTTTTAAACTTGGCAGCTTTAAGATGTGTGGACTTCAGCTCCCAGAATTCCCCATGCTCATAAGGCCTAATGAACTTTGGCTTGTTGGGGTCAGCTGACTGCATGTATCAGATTATGGGCAATATTGAGCCAGGACAGAAGGGTAGAAGTTGCCACTGACCATCCATGTGAAGAAAGGTAACAGGCTGACATCAAGAGTTA